CCAACTCTGCTCTGCCAGAAAAAGGAAGGAAGCTGCTTGTCTGCTGCTCCCAGCCTTCTCACACTGGGGAGGGCTTTTTTTGTCATCTCTCAGGTTGGTCTCTGCAGTGCATTCACAGCATCCATCTCCATTAAACAGCAGTCACAGGATTGGGATGGAGGGGACCTGGAAGATCATTTAGTTCCAAACCTCCTGCCGTGGCAGGCTCATAAAAGTAATTTGTTTATAAAAGTCAGTCTCAGTCAGATAACCCTAAAAAGCTCAGATGAGAGAATTTGTGACCTGACACTGGTGATGATTTGATGAATTTCCCTGTGAAAGTGAATTTTCTTTTTGTCTCCTGGAGCATCACTTGTGTAGCAGTGCAGTCTTGTGTTACTGGCTGCTAAGGTTCCATGGCCAAAAATTGTTTGCTTTTCAATACCTTAATTATGTGAAATCAAGAAGTCAGAAATGTATTGCCTTCTTCTCATTCCAGCATTTCAGAGTACACTGGCAAGCACAGAAGGAATTTTTTGAGCACAGTCCTTTTCTCAGAAGCTGATTGAACGGATCCTGCAGGGCAGAAAGTCCAAGTTCCACTCTGTGCATTCGTGCCCAGATTTCTTGGATTCCTCCTCCTGTCCTAAAACCACATTGTGCAAGTGGTCATGTTCTTGTTGGCCAAACATGAAATTTAGTTGCAAAGTTAGGAGTTAGACTTGGTGACAAGTACAGATTTTTCTCTTCTAGCTGAGCACCAAATGAGTGACCTGTCTGTGTGTGATGGGTGCAAATTGCAGTGCTGTGTCTTCCCTCTGCAAGAGATGTCTAGGAACTGCAGCTTACCTTCTAAGCTTCATTTTGTCATTTTCAAGTAATCAGAAGAGCTAAATTTAGCCAATCTAATTACTTTGCAGTATGTTTTAATATTTATTACAGAACAGATGTTGTTAGGGGGTGTATTATTATTCAGCAGCCCTTGATGAAAAGCACTCCTAAATCTTCTGTAAAAGAAGTCTCTTCTCCTGCTCTGCACCTGCCAGCTCCTGTTCCAGGGGTTCATTTGACACTCCAAACGTGCATCTTTATACATCCACAGTGGGACTGCACATTTTCTTCTTCATTTCCAAGTCTGTGTAAGTGAAAGAGAATGTGGGAATGGCAGATGCTGGAGAAACCTAAAACTGCCACGGATGTGTCCTGTGCATAAAGGAATTAAAACAGAGCTGCTGCTTATTTATAGCTCCTTAAGAGACTTTTTCTCGAAGGTGCCCAGAGACTCCTCTCTGTGGGGCTGGCCAGAGCAGGCTGATCATTAGAGCAGCTCCTGATGGGCTTTGTGGGCAGCCGGGATTGCTCAGCCCCTCTGGGAGTGAGCTTGGGATGAGCCAGGGTGACGCTGCTCAGAGACGTTTTACACAAATAACTCTTGCTGCAAACCATCCTTTTGGAGTAACGGATCAACATTTATAGAATGAGTGTTGCTAAGCTAGTACTAGTTCTGGTTTAATTTTATCCAGCTTTTTTTTTTTTTTCCCTTTTTAAAAGTGGGATGAAACAAAGCTGCAGTTCATAAAAGTAGTAGACTCTAAATTCCCAAAGCAGTTGCTGCTGCCTGCTCTTGGAAATGCTCATTAAATAAATGCTTGAGTAAAATTATTCAAATTATGTCCATTAAAGAAATTCATTTTTAAGCAGCTGAAGTTTTGCAGTGCTGCATAAACCCTGACTTGTGTTTTCAATACCCTTTGTGTGTCCATGGCTTCATTTCCTTGCAGCACAGGTTGGTGTTGAGTGCTCTGCTCAGGAGTGAGCAATCCTTGTTCCATGAAAATCCCCTTGCAAGCAGCTCAGTGTGGCTGCCCCATTTGTCCCATTCAGAATTCATAGTGAGAGCTTAGCAGTTAAAAAAAAAAAAAAAAAGAAAAAGCTCATATATTCTCCTTTTCTCCTTAATATTGTCCTGTCTCACTGTGTCTCCTGATGCTGACTGGTATTTTCATCTGGTTTCAGATTAACATTTCCTGCCTGTTGAAGTGCTCATGACCTCAAGAGTCCTGTTAGGAATTCTGCTGGACTCCCATGCTCCTGGCTTTTATCTCTAAATACCTTTATCCTGACACTTGCAGTGGGCAGGTGAACAAGCAGTGCAGGAGCAGTTCCCTGCTAATGCACATTTTTGTCACACGTGATAACAAAACACCTTTTGTTGGATTTATTCCTTCCTCAGCCTTTGTCTTGGCCCTGTGGGGAGCTGTGAATGGATGCTGAAAGCTTGCTTTGTGCTGCACTGATAACCTTAATGCACTGCTCATGCAGGACTGGGCCTTCCAGCTTGGGTGATTTTGCAGCTGGTTTTTTTTTTTTTTTTTGTAGTTTTAAATTGCTCATTTTTAGGCAAACTTTACAGTCTTTGCTTTCTGATTCCTTGAATTAACATCCATTTGTAGTGGAACAGTTGCTGTCAGGTTTTTACACAGACTTTAACATCATTGAAGAGATTATTCTGGTTTATAAAATGTGGCTGTATTCAGGTTGCATTGCTCTGGGAGTGTATCTGTTCTGTTTGTGAAACAGAACTCACAGACTTCAGAATTCTCTCAGTGACATGAAATATCTCAGTGTCCTGAAACGAGTGGATGGGGCTTCACCAGCTCCTCCTTAAGCTTCATTAAACATCACTCCCAAGTTTGCTTTGTGTCTGAGGAACTGGTTCTTCTCATGGTTTTGGGTGAGATTCAAGTTTCTCATCTCTCCAGGGGTGCATTGTGAAAAGAAATTTGTCACAGACCAATGCTGGAAGTGAAGGCTTCAGGAGTGACATTTTAATTCATCATTAAATGTCAATTACCATTCTTGATCAACTTCTGCTAGAAAAAATATTTCCTTCTCAGAAATGTTCTAATATGGAGAGAGTTTAGTCATTAAGTCCTGTGTAATTTCAAACACTATAACTTAAAGTACAATTACTTTAACTTCTTCAGTTTAAAACAAATATTTTTAAGACTTTTGCTGGAGCTTTGTCTAGTCCATAATGATTAAATGTCAGGTGCAAAGGACAGGATGTCACTCTGCCTTAGAGGCAGGCAGGTCATGTTAATCACATTTTTCTTATTTTCACAAGTCAGATACATCATGTCATAGTGGCATTTACTCATCTCCACACATCTGAAATTATTTAAAAGTAAGGTTTTTCAGCAGATCGTTATGAAAGTTTAGGAATTTGCTGCTTCTTCCTCCGTTCTGGTCCTGTTGAGAAATATTCTGACACTTGAGGCAGGGACAGCATCACTAAAGTCCCATCTGACTTTAGGGAGCTTTTTCTTACTCTGTTTATCTGGAGTTCTACCTCCTCCTCTTTGCTATAAATGATTCTAGTAAAAGCTTCATTTTCCTGCTATTTGTGCTTTTTGAAGGCTTTTTGAAGGTTTGTGTCCACTGGCTTTTCTCTGCCCTGGGTAAATGCACTTCTTCTTCATCCTAAAGGAGAGATCAAAGTTCTCTCATTAAACTGCTCCCTCCTGACTGACAGGGGAATTTCAGCCTCCCAAGCAGTGCAAATTCTGAATTTGCTGTGAGGAATAGTGAGCTCATTAAAAAGGTGAGAGAGGCCCCAGAAGCCTCAGTGTTTTTGCACAGCTTTCCTTGGGTGGCAGTTCAGGGGCAGCAGTGATGGGGCTGCTGGGCATGGCAGGGGCTGCCTTGCTAAGAGTTGGGTGCCACTAATTCAGCTGTTAAACCCTTAATAGTTCTTTTTTTAAAAATGTAAATCAGGGAGACTTCAGCTTTCTGAAAGCAACAGTCCTAACTGGATCAGATTATATAAGAATAAACAAATGGAAACCAGTTTAATTTAAATTATTTTGCATTAGACTCAAAGGTAAGAAGGGAACTTTGTTTTTATTCTTTGAAAGGATCCACATTGAACACAAGCATAGTGCTGGATGCTTCTTTAGGCTTGAGGAGTGAAAACAATATTGAAAGTGTAATTCCTGAATTTCCCAATTTGGAGTAGAATTGGGATGGATGAGAATTTAGGACTCTGCATTATCCTTGGTGGTTGTTGTTGGGTTTTAAGTAATTTGGCAAGAACAGGGTGAGAGTGAAGCTTTGGGTTTTGAAGAGCAATATCTGGGGACAAGTGTTTAAGTAACACTGAGTTTTGAATTTAGGAAATTAAAGCAGCATTTAAATATTGCAGAAGGAAGTAATTGCTCTCAGAGACAGTGGCTGTGCCTGGAAAAACACCTGAATTGGATGCTGACCTTTTCTGGGGCTATGGAGCGATGGAGGAGGTGACAAAAATGTGCCAGAATTCTGCTGGTTTGGAGGCAGCTCCATAGACTCAGTCTGTGGTGCCCTGGCAGGAATATTCCTCTTGTTGATCCAGCCTGAGAATCTGGAATCAAATCCTTTGGTTGGGATTTTTTTTTTTTTCCCTTTTGATGTCTGAATATTTTAGTGAATCTGATGTGACACCCAGGGCAGACTTCTCCAAACACTTCTCCAAACACTCAGCTCTCCCAGAGCTCCTGAGGCTCTCGTGTGCATGTGTGAGTGTGAGCAGGCTGGAATCTGGCTGAATCTTGGGTGTGTGAGAATTGGCATTTTTTCTTTAGGCTGGGAACTGTTAAACAGAAGGATTAAACTGAAAGAAATGAAGGTTTTGGCATTAATCCAGGATTGGTGTAACACAGTTGGGGAAGAATATTCTGGAGAAGGAGCAGTCATGATGCCATCCTTATTTTTTGCACATTAACAAGACAAGGGATGATATTCTTCTGCACCCATTGTGTCTCACTGCTGGAATTCAGAGTTTTTCAAGAGCTGTTGCTTTATCTGTCAATTTTCATCATTTGTTCATCACTTGCAGGCCCAGTGCCACAGCACTAATTCTTACATACTTCTGTTGTTTATTTAAAACTTTTCAGAGTCTCATTTTGTCTTGCTTAATGATGTCACTGTCATTTCACACACTTTTTTTTGTTTTGTTTTTATTTTCTATCCAGGCCCAAAACGTTCAGCACAGCAAGGACATGACTCTTGCCAGCAACCGCAGCCTGGCAGAGGGAAATCTCCTGTACCAGCCAAAGTTGGAGTCTCTGAAATCAAATTTAACTGAGAAATACCAGGAGCTGCAAGTTCTTTTTGAGGCATACCAGATAAAGAAAACAAAACTAGGTAACAGTGGCTGCTGGCAATTATGATTTGCTGTTTTTTTAAGTGATGTAAATCTGTTGCCTGTTTGTTGTTTGGTTTTTGGTGTCTCATTTTTAGCTGTGTGAATTAGGGTACAAAGTGAAATGTCATTCTTGTGTAGTGCTGAAATAGATCACACTTGTGATGATTTATTAAGTGACTGTCACACCCAGTAACAGATACTGTGGGTTCCTCCTGTTACCTACCTGTTCTTGACCTACTCTTCTCTAAATTATCAACTTCAGTTACTCTGCTAAAGAGCAGAACACTTTGAATTTTTAGTAACTCTTTATAAATCAAATGGAATATTACATTTAACTTTCATACTGAATCATATTGTACATCTGATACTGCACTTGCTGAAGTGTTTTCAATACGATAAATATATAATTGGAATTAAATTCCAGCTCTTAGCACTCTGACAATATTCCTGAGTTGTTACCATATCTCTGACTGTGCGTGACCCTGTGTGGAGCTGGTGCAGGTGTGCCCTGGAGGTGCTGTGTGCTCCCAGGTCACCTGGAGCCTGCTGTCACTCTGTGTCCTTCTGTCCCTTTGCAGACAGACAATCCAGCAACGCTTCCCTGGAGACCCTGCTGGCCCTGCTGCAGACCGAGGGCGCCAAGATTGAGGAGGACACAGAGGTAATGACACAGCTCCCCAATTCTGCCCCTGCCCCCATGGCCAGAACCTTCCATGGCTGAGCTGAGCAGGTGACAGCTGAAAGAATGAGGACTTGTCTCTGCTCTGAACCTCAGGGAGCAGCTATTGCATTCCAGCAATTTTATTTCTTTTTTATCTGATTTTTATCTAATTTTATTTCTTTTTTATCTGATTTTTATCTAATTTTATTTCTTTTTTATCTGATTTTTATCTAATTTTATTTCTTTTATCTGAATCTTATCTAATTTTATTTCTTTTTTATCTGATTTTTATCTAATTTTATTTCTTTTATCTGAATCTTATCTAATTTTATTTCTTTTTTATCTGATTTTTATCTAATTTTATTTTTTTTTATCTGAATTTTATCTAATTTTATTTCTTTTATCTGAATCTTATCTAATTTTATTTCTTTTTTATCTGATTTTTATCTAATTTTATTTCTTTTTTATCTGATTTTTATCTAATTTTATTTCTTTTATCTGAATCTTATCTAATTTTATTTCTTTTTTATCTGATTTTTATCTAATTTTATTTCTTTTTTTATCTGATTTTTATCTAATTTCCTACTCTTAACATCTTTGAAGTTCAAGACAGAAAGTGCTCCCCTTTTTAGGCAAACCCTCTCAGTTCCTTGGCTTTGCCTTCAGACTTGTAGAGTTTAAATCATGTGGAATCTTTTTTTCAATGGGCTTTGCCTGGTACATGTATTACTTCATAATAAATGTCAATTAGTGGCCTAATAAAAAAACCAACCTGTGCCTGTGCTGCTTTTCCTGCAGTGCTGCTGGTGAAATTTCCCACTGTGGTCTCAGTGTGTCTGTGCAGGGGCCAGGGGTCACACACAAGTGCCTGAAGGGTGGTGTGACTTCACAATAATGGGAGTGCTTGGATTTGTTTGCAGATTTGCATGCAGGCATTTTCTGTAATTAATCAGGAGGAAAAAAATGTGCTTATTAAAGCCTTGAGTTGTGATTGTAAAAAGACATTCCCAGGACAAGCTGAATTTAGTGATTTTATGTTTGTTCAGCTCTCAGTTATTAAACATCATTTTCCCAAAGCCACAGGTAAGGGTGAGTGTTGAGCCTGACTTGGCAATAATCTCAGTGCTGTCTCACAGAGTTCCAGTGTTTCTGCACTGAGCTGTAATTCAGCCTGGCTGCCAATCTGGGAAGCTGCTGCACCTGGTTTGTTCCCACCCCTGGCGATCAGGGGAACGCTCAGAGCGACATTCAGATGTTTTTATTGCTGTTACTTCAGTATCAATTTATGCAAAAGTGATATTTAACTCTCAGTGCTTCTGAGTAATCAGTAACTCAAAGTTCTGCCCAGAATCCTTCAGTATGCCAGTCATCTTCCATATGCCAGCTGGAAAATCACAGGCAAAATGCTGCTATTTTGGGATGTGAGCCATTTAGATTCTGTTGCAGTAGGCTGTTCCCTAAGAGAATGTTCTGTATTTGACAGAATATGGCAGAAAGGTTCCTTGACGGTGAAATCCCGCTGGATTCCTTCATCGACGAGTACCAGAGCAAGAGGAAGCTGGCTCACCTGCGCCGGGTGAAGATCGAGAAGCTGCAGGAGATGGTGCTGAAGGGACAGAGACTCGCTCAGGCTCAGCCTCCGGCGCAGCCGAGGNCTGGAAACGCGAAATTCAATGAATCCAAGCGCTGAATTAGGAGACAGTGACGGCCCGGAGGTGGGATCAGCTTTTCCGTTCGCACAGCGCTCGTTCTGCGCCTCGGCCGTGGGGAAGGATTTTGCCAGGGTGAATTGAAAACAATGTGAAAGAGATTTCTGTGTGCCTCGGTTGGTATGCTGGGCGCAGCCAGGGCTGTCAGCCTTCTCTGCTGCTTGTTTTGCCTATTTGAAGTGTCTTTGTCAGTGCATCAGGCTCCAAGTCCTGCTTTTGGATCTGTGATTCTTAAAACAAAACAGGAGCCTGTTTTCTTCCTCTGGCTGTGCTTGTCTTTATGTTTCTCTATGTGCCAGTAGACACTGGGTGCTACAGTTCAGATATGAGACTGTTCTGGGTTTATTTGGCCACAGATGTCCCTGAAAGAATCTTACTCTTAGTCAGATAAGAGCAAATAAGATGAAACTATATGTATGAAAACTTGAAAAAAAAAAAATGTACTCTGCTTCTCTGGGTCCTGTATTGGGGGTCCTGTATTGTTTATTGGGGGTTTTTTGTTGTCTTAAATTAGAGGACAAAAGCCTCAGCAGAAGAAAAACAGTGGCAACATGTTCTTGAGAAAGAAGCTTAAGTTTATAAAGTAAAATCAATTACAATTGTGTTCTCTCAAACTAAGATTCTGGCCCTTTTGGTGCTTCTGAGGAAATTGTTCTGGATCACCCCGAGCCAAATTATCAGAGTATTGCCCATGGACAGGCCCACTGCAGGCTGGGGCTGAGCTGATGAGGTGTCCTGGGGAATTTATTTGCTGTGTTATTTGTTGTATTGATGAGGTGTCCTGGGGAATTNGCCGGGGTGCCCGGCCCCGCTGGTGCCGCCCTATCCTCCACCGCTGCCCCAGAGACCGCCTCGCCTTCCTCCACATCCCGGCTTCATCCTCCAGTAAATGTTTGGGTGCGCCTGACTCTGGTATTGGTGCTTATAATATTTCCTTTTCCCCCATCAGAGACTTGCTGTGGGCAATGGGAGCCTCTGTTCTTTGCACAATTGGAGCACAAAGGCCGAGCTGTGGCACAGAGGTTTGCAATTGCTTTGCTAAACGTGATGTTTGTTTGCAAAGATCAGTGGTGACAAGGTTTTCCCAGGAAGGTGAGGAGGTCTAAATTGTGTAAATCCATCGAGTTGGGAAGGCACTGGCAGTGGATTTGCTGAGCTACAAACAGAGCCACGCTCTGAATTCCTCAGTGATGGCAGATCAGCATCCTCCTGTGTTCGGATGTGTTCCCTGGCAGCTGGAGAGGTGTGTGGCTCCCAGCTGGTTGTCCCTCTGAGGAATTGTGTCACTTGTTGGGGTGGTGGCAGCCATATCTGACCCTGCCTGCTGGGCAGGGCTGTGCACAGACCCCCAGCCCCTCCCCAGCCAGGGGCACGGGGCTTGCACAGCTCGCTGGGCTGGAGCTCCTGGCACAGCAGGGACAAGGACAAGAGTTTCATTTCTGCATTTCAGTTGTTACCTTAGACAGTGTGTAATCAAAGTAGGCACTGCTCCCACACTAAAGAGCTCAATACCCTCAAAGTCCTGGTCCCTTGAAATGAAACTAAACTGTTTGTAGAGCCAGTTTAGGGTTTTATAGACACTTTACCAGGCAGTTTTATTTCCTTGCCTATTAAGACTCTTTCTAATGGTTGGTTTTTCTCTCCTTTTCCACACCTTGGATACAGAAATGATTTTTTTTTTTACACAGGTGCTTAGCTTTTGCTACCATGTGATTCCAGGAATCTAGGCAGGGTATTTTCTTAATCAAATACTGGATTTTCACATGTAATTGCCCACTTGAATTTCCACAATTTCATTTTATCCCTTAACTCTGTCTCTCACTTGGCAGAACTACTCTTAACTTTCCCATTTCGTTTAGTTCTCAGTTTGGGGCATGTGTATCTATCTGGAATTTGCAGTTCATGTTTCTCTGCAACTAGGCAAAAAGGAAAAGCCTTTTGAAGTCCATGGTGGCTTTTTGCATCCTGCAGAATCTGTTCTTGACTTCTGCCACTGGACGGGAGAGGCTTTTTAGGGCAGCTCCGATTTCACTCCTGATGTGACTCTTGAAGCCTGAGGTGCAGACACATGCTGGTGCTTCAATCCAGCTCTGGGGGAGGCAGATTTTAACCCCTGTTGTTTGCACAGAATGTGTCTGTGGGTTTGTTACCAATCTGTCAAAGCCCCTGGTTATTTCAGTTATTTTGGTATCATTGTGCTGGAATGCACCGCATTGTTTGGGAGTTTGTACTACAAACATCAGTCAGAACAGAATATCTATTTTTTTTTTTCTTTATGTAAGACCTGGATTGTCCCTTAATCATTTCCTCTGGAGTGTGGTGCTGAGCAAATACTAATCTGAAATTAAGCTCATAACAGGAAGCTCTCCATTCTGAAAGTCTGACCGTGGCCATTTGTTCTGCCTTGTGCAGCCAAAGGCTGGGCAGTGTTACTGGCATCTGAACCAACTCCCCAGTGGAAGTCTGGCAAGTTTTTATAGATGGGGGATTTTGTGAAGCAATGTGCATTGGATTGGTTTGCCAAGTGTGTTTTTTCTGTAATCTAGTGATGGTACAGGATGTGGTTGTTTTTTTGGGTTTTTTTTTAATAGTGTGATATCTTTTCTTGGTATTATTTTCTCACTGAAGCTTTGTATAAGCATGGTTAATTATGACTCGTTTCTAAGTAACTTTGCTGTGCTGTTAGTGCTGGTATTTGGGTGGCAGCTGTTCTATCTGGATGCTAAACTTGAGTCTGTGTGGAAATGTGTCCTAGAAAGAATTAAAGTGGGTGGGGGCTACCAGGGTGCAGAAATTCATACTTTGAGCCTGCTACACAAAACTCTAAAACACTCCCAATTCAGTTTTACTGAGATCTCATGAAAACAACCAGGTATATTTTACACTTATCAGGTGCCAACTTTTTTTCTGAGGGTTGGAAGTCCTCAGAAGTGATGGGGGTGATGGATAAGTGTATGGTGAATTTGCACTGCATTTTATGTATCAGACTTTATTGGTATTAGTAGTCCAGAAATATTTTTACTACTTGTTAAATCTTCTGTCTTTTGGTAACTTTTGTGATAACAATGACCTTTCAGGGATACTTTATCTAAAAACAACCTCTTGTGCACACTAAATACAGACAAAGCTAATGCAATTTTTTTGTCTGGGAGCAAAACAATGCATTATTGCATATGCATGTGGCTGATGTGCCTTAGGATCACTACTTGTGATTGTAATTCTAGGATATTAGCATTTTTATCATTTGAATGGCCATTGCTTAACTCTAATTGAAGGGCTCTTGAGAGCACTGACTTTTACAAAAACTGACCCTCATACTTCAGAGAAAACAGCTCTTTCTGCTCTTTGTAAGCTTCCAGTTGCCTTCACTGATGGGTGAGTTTGAACATAGCTGATGTAACTAATGTGATGTTTCAGTTATTGCAAGCTCATAACTGAAGTCCAGCTGCTCATGGAAAACGTTTTGCCATTAATTCTGTGTGTGTGTGTGCACACAAACTGTAAATATTTACTTGACTGCTGGTGATGTTCAAGGGTAAAGGAGAATGACTGTGGAAAGCTGTTCAATCCTTTCAGCAACAAACTCGATGAAACACTAACCTGGCAAGAGCTGTGTCAGTGCTTTCAACCTGTTGCCCTTCAACAGCTTCTCCTGTTCTGTTATAGCTAATAAATTAATTCTGCTCTGGCTAGGATGTTTAGAATTGTACTAATTTGCACTGTTTATAAGATAGTGAGATTAAAATGCCATAGGCAAGCTGAGACTTGAGAGGGGGTGGCTCACGATGCTTGCCAAAAAAAAATTAAAAGTATATATATATAAAAAGGATTTTTTGATGTCTGCTACAAATAGCATAAACTTCCCCAAAGCAATTGGAGTGGAGAAAAATCCTTTAACTACAACGTGTAACAGGGCTTCAGAGTGTTGGTAGCATTGGGAATGCTCTCTTTGGGCAGCATTGTTGGTGCCAGTCCTGAGCTGGGACTGGGACCGGGACTGCAGTTCTGGCTCCGGGGCTCTCCCTGCCCTCAGGGCTGCTCCCAAAGCAGGTGCAGGGCTTTGTTCCAGCACAGCTGATCCAGGCAGGTCCCCCTGTGCTGCTGGAGGGAACCGGAGCTGCCCTGGCAGGGACCCGGCCTGCTCGAGGTCCCCGTCCCCAACTCCACGGCCTCGGCCTCTCCTGGGCTGCTCTGCCCTCCAAACTGGAATCTCGGAGATGCAGAGCTCAGAGCAGCAATTCCTGTGCCCTCCCCTGGAGCTGCCCTGGAGCTCAGAGCAGCAATTCTGTGGAGATGCAGAGCTCAGAGCAGCAGTTCCTGTGGAGATGCAGAGCTCAGAGCAGCCGTTCCTGTGGAGATGCCAGCTCAGAGCAGCCGTTCCTGTGGAGATGCAGAGCTCAGAGCAGCAATTCTGTGGAGATGGAGAGCTCAGAGCAGCCATTCCTGTGCCCTCCCCTGGAGCTGCCCTGCAGCTCAGAGGGGGCAGAGTCTCCTGTGCCTGAGCAGTTCCTCTGTGTGACCCCGCGCTGCCTCAGCAAGGGGCAGCTTTGTGTGCTGAGCAAGTTGTGAACATACAGTGGAGTTGTTTGCATTATAAGTCTTTCTGTTATCTACTGTGTTCTGATTTTAAATAAAATAGCATATCTCTTGGTGTCCTGTCCTCTTGTGGCTCCCTTCAGTCCTGCTGCAGTTCGATTCATGATTTTCAACCCTAATGGGGCTTTTTCTGTAGCAACAGAAACACAGTTTTAAATGGATGAAGAACATCAAATTGCAAATTGCTTTAATTATTCATGGTAAATCTGTTGGCTGTGTTTTCATGACTGGATACCACGAGTCCATTTTGTGTGGAGCTGCTACAGGATGGGTTTGCTCACAGCAGATTTCACAGGTTGTAATCAGGGCAGGGAGGGAGGTGGGCTGTCTGTCAGGTAAAACCCCTTTGCTTTTCTGCTCATTTCCTGAAATTAGCTAGTGGGAATGTTCAGAATCCCCTGGAAAGGCTGAAGGCAGAAAGCTTTTTTTTTAGAGAGGAAAATCTTAGATATCAGCCAAGTTAGGAGAAATGAGTCAACCAGAGTTATTCAGGAATATGAGTCAGAGGGCAGAAAAGACCTGATGTAATTTTCTGTGAGATCTGTCACTTCAGTAGTGATGCAAAACAGAAATCTGAATAACTGATCAGGGAAGAAATTCCCTTTTTTAATTGTTTCTTGATCCCTTCCCTTTGTGGTGGCTGCAGAGCTTGGATAACCTTGTGCAGGAAAGGGAGAGTGCAGCTGAGGAGAAGCTGCTGTGCTGACTCAGTGCAGGTGGGCGAGGGCAGGGGAAGGTGTTATGTAAAAGCTGCAGCTCCTCACTCAGCTCTGTGCTCTGCTTTGGGGCTGGCAGAGCTGTGCCTGTTCCAGCCCTGGCCTTGGGGTTCCCAGGGGTTGTTGTGGCTGGGATTGTTCCCAGGGCACAGGGGCTGTCACCTGCCAGGGTCACACCTGCCAGGGAGGGCACAGGTGGCACTGGGTGCTAAAAAAGCAAAATGCCACAATGGAAGGTGTCCTGTTGGGGACACTGCAGTGTCCGTGTGGCCTTGTGGAGGTGGCTGCAGGTCCTTCCCTCACCCTTGCTCCTGTAATTTGAGTCCCCTCGGGTTGTACATTAATTATTTTACAGCTTTGCCTCTTCACCTCTCTGAGATGTGGTCACCGGGAGCTGGGCGTGCTGCCTGAGGGTTTTTGAGGGATTCTGGGTCTCTGGAGTTTTGGAGGTGCCCTCTGAGGCTGTGCCTCCATTGTTCCCCACCTGCAGCACAAACCCAGGTGCTGAGGCTGCAGATGTGCCAGTGCACACCCTGGACCCTGCTGGAAGCCAAAAGCTGTTTTTTAAACACTGCTTATTATTTCCAAACTGCTCAAAGGTGCCTTTTTTGCACTCCTGTAGGTGATGAGTAGGAATTATTTTTTTCCTTCAAAGCTAAAAATGTTTCCTTCTCACCACATAATCCCACACCTTGCTACGTGCACTTAAAACTGCAAATTATTCCAGCAACCACTGCTGGGGCTGGGCTAATTTCTGAGGGGTTTGTTAGTCCTGGAGGGAACCAGTGACAGAGATGGGAGGTGACAAAATTCTCAGCATGGAACGAGCCCACCTGGCTGAGCACAAAATGCTGGAAATGCCTTTTGGCCTGGGGCGTGTTGTCTCACAAGGTATGTGGGGAATCCAGACCAGCTTTGTATTTTTTTATTTAACTCTGCATACCCTTGAAGCATTTGTTAAATGATTTGATTAGCTGGTGCTTCTGGCTTACCCCAGTCATTTTTCTGAGTGGGTCATTCAGGAAATACCATCCCTAAATACTCTGCTGCCCAAACTCATCTAATTCATGCCTGGTTGGGCACAGCAGAAAAATAACTTTTCTTACAAAAGGCTGCTTTTTGTGGCTTCAAGGGCTCTTAAAAACATACTTTAGCAGAAGTTTTGTGGTCTGGTTACTTTACCTGACTTCCTAGAGGTTGCACCAGCCTGTTTTCTATTTGTGAGCTTCATTTCAATGCCCTTTTTGCCCCCAGTGATCCGACACTTGATTTTTGCTGTTCCTGAGCTGCAGCTGCTTCGTGTGCTGGTGCTCAAAGCAATCTGTGCCCACTGGAGCTTTGCCTACTGAGATAACAGCCTGCTTGAAAGCTGCTTCAAGAAAAAATAAACTGCTTTACTCACCTTGGTGGATTATTTCACAACTTGGTTATTTTCCACTGCCTCTCTTACAGGTACTGAATAAACTTTGCTCTCAGGAGCAAACATCTTCCTCTCTCCACAGCCACAATAATGGTATTTAAAAGTCATTAGCAAATTGGATCCTGCACAACAGGATGTCTTGATGGAATCTCAAAATAAACCTCTGCAGACACACAGTTTGGCATTCTGATACTTCTGTCAGCTACAAATAGCAAACACTTTCTAAAACAAGTATAGGACTGAAGAAAAAAAAATAGACTGGACAATAAGAGTAATTTTTTTGTACAAAAATTAACTTAGATTACATTTCAAGTGGTTTATAGAGCTTATTTTTATTTGGGCTGCTACTTTCTGAGACTTTTGATGATCCTGGCCTGGATGGTTTTAAGTAAATCAGTGTGACAGCAGTGGGGGTAAACAAGTTCCATTTAGCCACACATCATTTTATTTTTAAATTCCTTAAATATAACAAATCCTTTAAGTAGGACTGTGGCTGAACTGAGGGTAGTAAAAGTTTAAAAGTTTGCGTTCTTGTTTAATCAATATTCCCGGGGTGAAATGGGATGGTGAGTGGCTGGGTGACGTCACTCTCCCAGCAAATACAACTTTATCACTGTCTATAAATAAACCCAGAGCTACTGCAGAAAGCACTTCCTTGAGAGAAACGAAACTGAGCAGGGAGCTGGCCCTGTCCCCGCTGTGTCACTGTCCCTTGGTGTGACAGAGCCACCCAGGGCAGAGCAGGGACCAAAGCCAGCAGGGTCAGAGCAGCTCAGGGAGCACCCTGGGCACTGCACACCGAGCCTGGCACTGCCCAGACACCCAGAACCCGCCCAGGCAGGAGAGGATGTGCAGCCTCAGAAAGCTGCGGCCACCACGGGGCTGTTTGGTAACTGAAATAAACCCTGGGACAGCTCAGAAATGTGTTTACCTGAGATCCAGCCACTTGTCGTTCCTGTTAACTGCTTTACAGCCTGCTGGCAGTCACAGGGATGAAAAGCCCTGGGTTTTACTGTGGCTTTTATGAAGTTTGATTGTAATTGGGCCTGAGGGTAACAAGGGATGGGATGTAAATGTTGACTGAACATGACAAGGACCCTCCCAAGTCCCCACCTAAACACAAGGCAGCTCTGGTCACCTTGGCATGCTGAGCTCCAAATGCTTCAGTCTTATCACCTACATGATATTATGATATTATGTATCATATACAGCTGCCTATTTTAAATATTATATATCTATATTTATTTATATTTATATTTATATATTTATATACACCTGTATTTTATCTAATATATATATCATTATATATATAATTATATATATAATTATAACATGTATATAATTATTATATATATAATTATAATATATATTATAATTATATATATATAATTATAATATATATAATTATATATATAACATGTATATAGTATGTACTAATAAATATATATTATAAATCATATATATACATTAGCTATCACACCTATAATAATATATTTATATATATAAAATATAATTATCTTTTATATATTACATTTTATATATAGTGTATAACAGTATAGGCACATAAAATATTAAAAAATGCATATATATATAATTAAAATATTTTATATATATATATATATATATATATTTAGACTTATATATATATTTAGACTTATATATATATAGGCAAATGCAGAACCATAGATACATATAGCTACACATACATAGAGAGGACTCTCTCTATGTATATTTATGTGAATTTACAGATATATTTACTGCCTGTCTCTTCCCCCCAGCCCAGGCCCAGTTTCCTGCAACCAACCCTGTCACGGCCCTGTCATCAGCCCCCTCCCCAACAACAAAGCAACACAAAAGTATTTTAAATATTGCTCCTTTAATAATCTACATCCTGGTAGTTGCTCCAAGGCAGACACAGCTGACAGGATTTTAATCTGCCCCCGCATCTCTGCGCATCAGCAATTCCTTATTGCTGCACACTTCTCTAGCCCCTGGCTCCCGTAGGCCACGGTTGGATTTAATTCTGCTAATTATCTTAAATATAAAACATAATGCAACTGATCCCTTGACATTGCTGTAGTAATAAAAAATAGAAAAGGAAAAAAAAAATAAAAACGTTTGTATCCTTATTGCCAGTGTGTCAGTAACTGCTTTTCCCTAAGAAAAGCCCTGCCCCACGTGCTGGGGAAGGCAAACATTTCCCTTCCTGCTGAGGGCTGATCCCACGCCAAAATGAACTCAAATATTCCTCAGGCTGGGAAAAGGAGAATTTAAAAAAATGGTTGCAAGAAAAGCCCACCAGTTTCCTACTGTAAAACCAGTTCACAGTTCTTGGAAAGGGTCTGAGCAGTACAGTAGAGCTACATTTACTGAAAACTTCTAGTGCTGATAAAGTCCTTTAAAAAAAAAAAATTAACCCAAACAAACCCCAAATTAAATTAAACAGGGAGAGGAGGAGGAGGAGGAAAAAGAGGAGGAAGAGAAGAAGGAAGAGAAGGAGGAAGAGGAGAAGGAGGAAAAGGAGGAGGAGGAAGAGGAAAAGGAGAAGGAGGAAGAGGAAAAGGAGAAGGAGGAAGAGGAAGAGGAAAAGGAGAAGAGCACTCAGCGGTGCCGGGGGAGCGCAGCAGCCCCACCACTCTAGAGTTCAGAAAAAGGGAAAACAAAAAATAAAATCCGTTCCTCAGAGAAGATCCAGTGTGGGATTGTTCCAGGCCGGGCGCCGAGGAAGGCACAGCAGCGCGAAGGCACCGCGGGAGGAGGAGGAGGAGGAGGAGGAGGAGGGCGGGCCCGGGGGCTGCTATGGCTGCAACGAGAAGGGCACAGAGGCCCAGGCCGTGAGAGCCGTGCCAGGAGCACCCCCTGCAGCCCCAGCCTGCCCCCAGCCCGGCCTCACCTCGCCCAGGCCGGGTTTCTGGGCTATCGGGGGTTTCTTCAGGATCCCTCGCCGCGGTGCCGGCGCCGGCCGGGCCTCACCCTCCTCATCCTCGCAGCCCCCGGCCAGGCCGTAGTGCTGCTTCCTCAGCTCGCCCAGCCGCACCCGCTCCCCCTCCAGCCGCTTCTCCAGCTCCAGCACCTTCACCTGTGCCCAAAAACCACCCTGGAGCCCTGCCGGGGGCACAGGGACCCCCAGGGTGGGGCTGGGCCTGTCTGCGGCCATGCTGGATCCCCCTCAGGGCCGTACCTGCGTTTCCATCTCCTCCTTCTTCAGCTTGATGAGGGACATGCCCGAGAAGTCCATGGTGTCTGTGGGGACAGCAAGGCCCCCACTCAGTGCACCCCTCACATGCCAAAGCAGAGCTGGACGGACACCTCGGGGTGTTCCCCAGGCCAGAAAGGGATTTGGGGTGGGGTTTTCTACCTTTGCAAAAAACCCTCACCTTTCTCCTCTATCTGCTCTTGCCCCGACTTGGTGGAAGCCACCACGTTTGCTGCCATCTCGTTGACATTGCGTGAGCACTCCTGGAGCCTGGCCAGGTTCCTGCTGCTCTTCTCAGCCTTCACCTGCAACGAGCACAGGAATGGCTGTGGGTGCCCACAGGGAGCCCCAGGCAGAGGCAAAAAGCTTTTGGGCATGAGAACCTGGGAGTGGAAAGGATGGATGGATGGATGGATGGATGGATGGACAGATGGGAAGGTTTATCCTCAGAGATCCCATCATGGCCAGACAAGGTGATCCCTAAAAAGCCCTTCAGCCCCAGGGCACCAAACCAGCTCTGCTCCTGAGCCAGGCACTCAGTGAAGACACAGCTCTGTTTTTTTAACTGTGCTCTTAATTTTCAATCCATCTGGTGTAAAAATCCCTGTGGATCCCCCTCTCCTCACCTGCATCACTGAAAACTCCACCCCTCACTTCCACCCACACCAACAGGAAAGGTGGCAAGGACCAAAGTCCACCCTCCTCAGCTCCAGCTCCTGCAGCAGCTTCTCTGGATTTCTTGTTAGTTATTAACATTTTCTTTACATAACCAGCCTGACAGGAGGAGGACGGGAGCTTTTACACACCTTCCTTTCCAAGGCAAGCCTTGGGTGCGGGAATATCCACACACAAATCCCAGACTGGAAAACAGCAAGAGCTGCCCTTCTCCCTGCTCTGGGGGACTCAGGATTGGCAGAGAGGAGGGGAACCCCTGGGACAGGAGGAGGAGAAGCCAGAGGGTCCTGCTGGGACACCCACCTTGGAGGCAGCCACCAGCTGGGCTGTGCTGGCAGCGATCTCGTGCGAGCAGACAATCAGCTCCTCGTACTTGCCCGTGTGCAGGACAACCCTGTCTGCAGACTCCCTGCAGGGGGCAAAGGAGATCGGCTCAGAGCAAGTGCAGATTATTCATCTCCTCTAATACCCTCAGAAATCAGCAGCTGGATCCAGCAGCTTTCTAATTACAGAATCCCGGAATTGTTACAGTTGGAAAAGATTTCTAAGATCTCTAAGATCCAGCTGTTATTCAAGCTCATACACAAAGCAGTTATTCAAAGCCGTGATCCAGGTGATTTGGACTGAGGAAGGATTTTGTTTTGGATGAGATTTTTAAAGCTTTGCCCAAGAGAGACCCCCCACACTTCCTGCACTGGCACAGGGCAATTCCAACCAGCCCATCCACAACCATCTGAGCAGGAACTGGGACAGGGGGGGTTTGATTTCCCAGTTTGCAGGGAGGAACTGCCATCCCTGGCTGGATGACCGTGTGGCCAACCCAGGCCAGGATGCTCCATGAGGAATTAGCAATGAACCAAACCGAGGGTCCATAAAAACAGAGATCTCCACAAGGAGCCAGCAATGAGGCTCCACCAGGAATCAGCAATCCAGCAGTGGGAATTTTGGAATTTTGGAGGGTGGGGGTGAGAGGGAAGCACGAGGCAGCCCCAGGGGAAGCTGCCAGCCTGGGTACCTACACGAGCTGTGTGGCTCCCCAGCCCACGGCCTTGGAGGCAGAGATCAGCCCTTCGGTCCAGCGCGAGTTCTTGGCATAAAACTCCTGAGTTGTTGCTGCCCCCTGTTGATATCAGAATATTACAGCCTGGATTAACTTCTCTCTGATACACAACAACATATAAATCTGTATTAAATACCCATATAAAGTGTAGTAATGTGTAAATTCATATATAAAGCCATAAATCAAGGGAGTGACAGCATTCCTGTGCTCTCCATGCTGCTCTTACTGACCTGCTTAAATAATTATCAAGAAAAACAACATCAGAGTCCCAAGCCTACAAATTTGAGCTGGGTTTGGTTTAAAATACACAAATTTGAGCCGTGATCTTTAGATGAACAAGGCTTTGCAAGGGTGGCAGAGATTTGTGAAGAGAGCACAGGGCTGAGCAGCCCATGTCCAGCAACTGGGACTGCCAGGGTGCTGCTAACATGGGAAACCATAAAATCCGGAGTGTTTCTGCAATTTAGGGGAAATTCTCCTGTATTTCACCAGCACAAAGAGATGAGTGTGAGGGAGGACTCACCCGGCCACTTTCCACTATCTCCTTCTGCAGGTTTGTAGATGTTGTTACAAGAAGTCTGATAGCCTGGAAGGAAGGAAGGAAAACAGGTTTTGGGGTTTGTGGGGGTCTCACAGAGGAGCATTGATGCTGCTGCTGTGGGAGGTTCCAGTTTTGTGCACCCCAGATGGTTTCTGCAGCACTGACCTTCATTAGATCCGTGCAGGAGTTCAGAATCCTGAAGGGAAGCAAGGGAAAAGTGTTCAGCATCCAGGGAAGCTTTGGCCTCAGAAAATGGGCTTTTTTCAAGAGCAGCCAGCCTGTTTTGGAGCAGAGCACACCCCAGCAGGGCACAGACCTGTCCCACGTCCCTCCTCCAAACTCACCGCTCATTCACTTCCAGCTTCACCCCAGAGCTCTCGCTCCTGGCCTGGCTCATCATCTCCTGTTGGGAAACACAAGAGGAAGGGTTGGATGCCATGTTGGGATGAGAAAGGTGAAAGGATGATGGTCATTGCCCCCACAAGGCCCCAGAATGGCCCATCCTGCAGCTCTGTCTCACCTCTATCCTCCTGACAGCATCCTCAATGGCCTCTGAGGTGGAGGCCATCTCCTTCTCAACCATGTCCCCCAGCTCCTCCTGCTTGATGTCCAGGCTCTTGGGTCTCAGCTCCTGCCAGAGGAGGCAGCAGGATGAGGAGGTTTTGGGGAGAGAAACAGAAGGGATTATTTATAAGGAATAACTACAAACCAAGATACCCAATTCCTTCCCACCCCCACCAAATTAAAGCTGCAGCAGCAGCACTCTGCAGCCTGCACAGTGAAGGCACATGTGCCACCAGGTTGCAGCAAACATGGGACCTCAGAGGTAAGAAATGCCCCAAATCAAGGTGAGAAAACTCCATCATAGGAGTAATTTCTGCTCCAGAGGGCCCTGGAGAGCTGAAAGTGGTGTAAAAGCAAATATAAGAGGGGCTTCACCAGGAGAAATATCTGAAGTTTCCTTCCACAGGAGTTACTGGGCTGAAAGACTTCAGCTGATCTGAGGCTGACCAGCTCTGTGCACCACCAGGAAGGGTCCCAGTGATGGCTCAAGGAAATCACCAGATTTGGGGGCAAACCCCCCAAAGTGTTCCCAGGGACCCACCCTGCCAGCCCCAGGTGGGAAGGCGGCAGTGCTGGCTCCATGTCCTACCTGTGCCAGCTGCAGGACCCCTCGCAGTGCCCCCTGCACGTGGCCCAGCTGGGCACTGCCCAGCCTCTGCCTGTCCTTCAGCTGCTCCAGGTACTCCAGGCTGCTCTGGCCGCACTCACGGCACGTCTCCGTCAGCCCTGCCGAGAGCACAGCCTGCCCAAGGGCTCCCTTCATCCCAGCCCTGCCCACCCTCACCCTCCTCCTCCCCTCAGCCACCGCTGAGCACCAGCAGCACCCCACAAATGCCTCCTGGGAGATTACAAATTCATTTCCAGGCCCAGGGAGGGGCAGTAGAGGGCAGGGAATGTCGGGAGGGGGAGCGTGGGGCATGTGCTGAGTTTAGGAAAATCCGCCCCTGGCAGAGGGGGCTGTGGCATGGCCTCCCTAAGGAAAAGGCCCATAGAAATAATCCCCCCTGCAGCCCTGCACTCACGGTCAGCGTGGTCCGTGGGGGCCAGGTGAGCCGTGGCGCTGCCGTTGACGATGGTGTCACCTGCCAGGTGTGCAAAGAGGGCCAGAGCCCCCACCAGCCCCGCAGCATCTGCACAGACAGCACAGCCTCAGCAGCTGCCAGGTCCTGCCGGGCCCTGGGGGCTGCAGTTCCTCCTTGAAGGCACTCAAGGACCAGGGCAAGGCTCAGAGATGTTGGGACTGACTCCTCCAACACACGGGAACCCCCCAGCCCTGCCCGTGTCCCTCTGTCCCCAGGGCATTGCTGCTTGCCCGTGGCCCCAGAGCTGCTGGGGCTGCTGGGTGCAAGGG